ATCTATCTATCTATCTATCTATCTATCTATCTATCTATCTATCTATCATCTCTATTTCTCTCTCTCCCTGCCCCCTTTTCTCTTATCTACAATTTTGTATACAGAGTACATTGCAATAGCCATATAAAGGAACTCTGGCTTTGATTATGTGCCATGATGTGGCAGTATCTTGGGTAATTATGCTACCATCTTGTGTTTTTTTAACCCCCCCTCCTTTGGAGGTGCTAGTGGCTCCAGATCCCAAGAGATGCATGTTAATTGCATGATTGAAATGTCTGCTCTGAGAATATAGATGCCCAACTGAATTTCCTTCAATATGTCTAAAGCTGACTAGTATGGTCATCTATTGGTAGCATAGCTTTCCCATCACATTAAGTCATTGTCAGCCTATAGATCCAAGTCAGGACCAACTTCTACTTGGCATGATTATAATCAGCCATTTTATGTGTAGCAGCAGAGCCATGATTCTGTTAAGGATTGTCCAGATAACATTTTAAATAGGAAATTAGAGATTGAAAATGAATAAGTGAAAATGAATCCATTTATGAATCAATCCATTTAATCAAAATATTTTTTCATTCTTGAATAGTTCAAGATTATGGAATGTTTCCTTATTATATTTTTTGGAATTTGTAAGCTGTTGGCACAGGGCTCCAATCAAATAACTATGAACAATACTTGTCCCAATTGTTACAAGCAATAATGGATGGCATGCAGGATGAAACAAAAAGTTAAGACACATACCACATTTTTATAGAAAAAGTATAGCACCATCTTTCCCAAGCGAGAATAGCACCAATGTCCATGGACTAGAAGTAACTTCTTCAGGTGTTTAAACTGAGATACTGAAAAATCACTGGCCATGACAGCCTGAAATGGAGAACATATATAAAATGATACAATTTATATTTTCAAGTTTTACTGATCCAGCATAAATCAGGACTGCAGGCAAAAGTCAAAATAATGAAACCCAAGAGTGGGAAATATAATGTGACTCTGGTTTAATGTTAAACTATTCAATGGCAGCTTTTCTAAAGCTGTTGCTTTTTAGATGTGTTTAACTATCATTTCTGGAATTCCCAGACAACTGTTGCCAAAGCTAACTGGGAATTCTGAAGTTACACACTAATATCACTGGAAGATAAGTTACAAATGAGTGTGCTAGACTTTCATTATGAAACTGCATCTCTCTCCATTTCCAAGCCCAGTGTGACAATTTCATTCATAAAAAAGTGATCTTATGACAGTTAGACTTAAGGTAAGCAATTTTGGGTAGTTGGAGGCTTCACATCACTCTAACATAATGAGGGAAAGAGAGTGGGAATATATCTTTTATTGGATGGAACTACAATTCTCCCTTTCTCCTTCATTTTTGTGTGAAAGTTTGGGACCCTCTGTTTTTTTAAGCCGTGTTGCTTCTTTTAATGCACTACTGTTTGTGCATGTTTCTCTTCTCCAAATGTCCAGCAGCAGAGGAACAGAGAGCAACAAACAAGCACTTATAGAACCCCTTGTAGCTCTGGAGCCACAAATTGCCCATCCAATCTAAAATAATAAGAACAACCTTGGATGAAACAATCCAAAGCATAATACTTCTTGAGGAAAACATCCTCAAGTACTACTTGAAATCCAGTACAATTCCACATCAACTGTACTCCTGCACAGAGAATATGGACTTAGAGGTAGGGGCTGGACAATCCATCTATGGTTTTACTGGATTAAAACATAGTTGTGATTCAGCCTCAGTTCATAAATGACAACCAACAAGAAAAGTAATTGTCAGCTTATTCTAATTAGGATGCTTCCAGTGATGTTTCTATCAAACAATTAATCCCGCTAGGAAGGACGGGGGAAGGGTAGTTTCCAGATGATGCTTCTTATTGTTAATCAACCTTCCTTATTTTTTTCTGCTGCACAATGTCTTTGTTCAGAAACATTTGTATGGGAAAAGTTTATATGCCCTAAATGAATAATCAAGGTAAGCATACAAAAATGATTTGATTCATTATAAAAGCAAATCATTTCACTCTGATCTCTGAAGGATATTGCTTACCTTGTTATAACAGAACGCAGATGATACTTATGTTCACTTTTTATAAGGAATGCAGTCACCTAAAAATTCTGAATATGTACCTTAGCAATTGTTGCCAAGGGCAAGAGGATATTCTTCAATTATTATGCATACCTGCATACCTTCTTGTCCAGAAATGCCAATTCCAATATCAGCTGCCTGGAGCATACCTACGTCATTTGCGCCATCACCTAGAAAAGAATGAAACATATATTTCTCTCAGATTGAGAAGTAGGCTGAACAGATGGTAGGTAAGGCAATAAAAATATTTGTTCAGCATATTTCTCTTTCTGCATTATATGGTTTATGTAAGAGACCAGTTTTGTATAATTAGATATGAAATGAAAAGATACTTCTTTTTGTTTGCCTTGAATCTTTGCCATTGCTTGAGCCTAAATTTGAGTAGTATGAACAAGAGGAATAAACTTCTTCCCATTCACCTTGTTTCAAGTCACTGCTGACTTTATTATAAATCATTGACAGTGAAAACAATTTCATTTTCAATTCCTTTATAAGTTTGCTTAGCAACTTTGCCTTTTTCTCAGCAGAAACATGCAATTTTTGGGGGGTGATATGTTATGTTTAACTGACATATCAAACACAATACTAAGACCCCATTCTCGCACTTGAACTTAGCCCAAAACCTGGGAAACAGTTGATCCAGATTCATATTTCCAGACTTCACATTACTTGAATGTGAAATTGGGATTTCCCCCCGTTCTACAATTGGTAATTTTGAGTCATATTATTTATTTTCACCTAGTTTGGAGGGATCCCTTTGGACTGCTACACAATCCATAAATAACTTGGACATGAAACCAAATTTAGCACAGTCAGACAGTTTTGCTTCATTCCTTGACAATAATAAACATCTAGTTTTCACATTTCAAGCTAAGTAGCAGCAGTGAATGACTGGGTAGCTCATTTTTGTATGTCCCCATTCACCACCTCAGGTCACACTGCTAGGAAAATAGTAGATTTGGGAAGGATTCTTTATTTTTTTAAAAAATGAACCCTATTCATTCCAAGGATATCACTGAAATATTCCTTATAGCCCACTGAAGAGAGATAATAGTTAGCTTGTTGATAGATGGATAGTTTGATGGATGGATGGATGACAACCCATTTGGTGCAGTAATTAATTTACCAGACTAGAAACAAGTTGTGAATTGTTGACCCTCCTTAGGTACAAAGCCAGCTGGGTGACCTTGAGCCTCAGCCAAGGATGTGTGTACAGGTTCTTGGGAGAAATGTGCAAAGAACCCTGGGAGTATATGCCAATAATGTACATTCTCAGCAGGGTCATTCAAGGAAGAATAGGACATCCTAGAGCAACCGGACACCTATACTGAGCAGCAGTGATGTAGGAGGATTGATCATTTTAATAACAATGACAAAGATAAAAGCACCATGTTATACTGTATGGGAGAAGGCAATAGTAAACTATTCCTAAATTTTACCAATACCACCAGATGGGTAAACAATATGAAATGATAGGAAAGGTTGGAGACGGTGTGCTCTGCAGAAAAGGTATCTGTATAGTTGTTAAGCACTGACAGTGACTTGATGGCACATGTTGCTTACCTACTGCAAGGGTCAACACTTTCAGCTGATTCCGTACAAGTTTGACCACCATGCTTTTCTGCAAGGGAGTGCATCGGCAGCATAGAACTGAGTGGCTATATTTTGTAAGTTGAAGAAACTTATGCTCAAGTTGTCCTTGGAAAATAGTATTCAGAGCTCTTCCATCAACTACTAATCCAATAATCGGATTTGGAAGTCCTGTGGTTGACCAAGAAAATGGCAGTTTAAAGCCAAAAATGCTCCATATTTTTCGAGGAATTACTTGACCCTTCTGCACCTCTTCCAACATGATATCCAGCAGCGATTCACAAGTTTCCTATGGAAAAAATAGTTGAACAAGTTGTGAAGCTACATGGTACCACAAACAAGAATTCTTCTGTTACTAAACAGAATATGTTAAACTTTTAATTACTTATAATCTTTCATTCTGTTGGACTACCACATAAATTGAAGGGCATAAGTGCTGACTTAGAGAAGTCATTCAACAAGTTACTTGATCAAATATTTAGTAACAATTCAAAATTGGAGAATGTGGTGTATTATCCAAACTAATTTTAACTCCCCCTCATAATGTATAGTTAATTTGTACTGCTGATGCATTGAGATAAATACTACTGCATATATAGTCCATGACTAAATGTATTGTTTTATTTCATATTGCAGATGAATTAAATAGCCTTCATCATTGTATCACTTGTAACTGAAATATTATCTGGCAAGTAGATTTATCCCGTTTGTTATTTCAGAGAAGAATTACTTATTTAGTCCTAAAGTTTAGTATTTCTAAATAAGAATCAATTTCCTTAAATAAGGAACAGATGGCAAGCCTATGATTAAGCATCAAGCAAAACCTCAACAGCATGTGGAGACAAGATCTTTTGCAAACTGCCTAAGGCACATGATGATATTAAAATCTTGAAGTTTGTTGCTAGCATTCACAAGATCTCCCTGGGTTCTGAAGATGGTGAGACAGGGCTGCTTCTAATAGTATGCACGGAATACAATGGTACAGTACACAAGCAGGGATTGACTCATATAATGAGAATTGTCTGCATCTCTCCCCACCACTTCCCACATCTTCAAAATTTACTATGAAGAGGGAACAGGTTTCGAATACATGTGGGATGGAAGCTTTCTGGGGAGAACAAATGGTTCTTTCATTCCATAGGAATACACCACTGGATTCAGTTCTTTTTTTCCTTCCACAATTCAATCCTGTTCTGAAAAACTTTTGCACAAAAAATTATTTACCTATCATGGCATATCCTCCCTGCTGGTCTTTAGGACCTACCTTACTTTCGGTATTAATGGTAAAGACAGTGTCTCTTTGGTCTAGAAGTTTGCAAGAATAGGCAATGTTGACAGCTGTTTCCTGCTTATCTCCAGTTAATACCCATGTTTGGATTCCAGCTTCTTTGAAGGCAGCAATGGTATCAGGCACTCCTTCTTGCAACCGGTCTTCTATCCCTGTTGCTCCTTATGAAAAGGAAATAATCAGCGTTATTGATTGCTGCCAAGAGAAGGCACACCTCTGGGGTCTAGATAAATGGCATTACTTAATTGATGGAAACCAGAGCATGACAGGCAGATAAGGCAGGAGACAGGTGGTCCCTCAAGTAACCAGGCTCTAAGCCATTAATTAGGAATAATTAGGAAACAATTGCTATGTGATAAAGTGACTGATATCCTACATTTAACTTTTGTTATATTTCACAATAATTGCTCTGCAATAGAGTTGTGATCAAGAGATTCTTCTTTAGGACTTTAGAAAATAAACCATCTTTTTTATTCCTACAATTGGCTTATACAAAATGGATTGTATGCCAAGAGTCTGCTCTGTATGCACTATGGGGTTGGGATACATTCATTATACACATAACGTGCACCACTGTTGGAGCAATGAGGCACAAGAACATTTGGTTTAGCTTTTTATTATCTTCTGGAGGGTGAGTTTAAAAGGTCAAAACTTACACAAGAATAAAAGAGAAACTAGTAGAAAGCTGACCTGCTTAACTGAAAACCATTTACTAAACAAGTTTTCTATTGTTTTAACACAAAATTTAAAAAACGTATTCCCTGGCTTGAGATGTTCCAGAATTAATACAACTTGGCTAAACGAACATTGAAAATAATTACTGAAAGAGTAATAACATCTTTTCTACTGGGATCAATATAACGTTATTGGAAATTTTAAGTATTATATATTGAATACAAACTATTGCATAAAACATGGATAGCTAAGCTGTGACTAAGGTTTATAGAATTCTGGATTGGTGCAAAGAGGCCTTCATAGGGCACAAGCATAGAACACAATGAAGCAAAGTTGTCTACATCAGTGCTCAGAAGATATGACGTATAAGATATATGTGCTGCAGATGTGGTATTCAGCAGGTTCTGACCAGTTCTGGAGAACCAGTAGCGGAAATTTTGAGTAGTTCAGAGAATTGGCAAATACCACCTCTGACTGGAGATTTTACAGTATCCTTCCCCTGCCATGCCCACCAAGCCACACCCACAGAACTGGTAGTAAAATTTTTTGAATCCCACCACTGATGTGCTGTAGTATACACCTGAATGATGTCATTTCATGCTTTGGATTTTTGAGGTGCAACTGGCAGATAGATTGGCTACCCTTGACTCAGAACCAGGTAACACTAATTTTAAACCTGTACTGAGATACTAATTTTCATTTCCATAGATAAAATGACAGAGTGATTCCCAAGCCTATTTCATGTGTGGCCCAACTTTATTAATATTGGGGATTATGCATTGCAAATTATAACATGGATATGTGCACATATGGTGAAGCAAAGCTGTGAGGTCTGGAGAGAAACTAGACCTTAGGCTCCCCAATGTACATCTAAGATAAGTTGATTTACATTAATTTCTATGGAACCCTTTAAACTGTGTGTCTGTATATAAATAAATAAAAGATACTGTGAGTTCTAGTCCAATTTTAGGATGAAGCCAGGTGGGTAACCTTGGGCCAGTCACTGTTTCTCAGTCCTAAGAAGGAGGCAACGACAAACTATTTCTGATACCTTGCCAAGATAACTGCAGGGATTAGTCCTGGCAGTTGCCAGGAGTCGTGTGTGTGTGTGTGTGTGTGTGTGTGTGTGTGTGTGTGTGTGTGAGAGAGAGAGAGAGAGAGAACAATATACTTATCTGTACAATATTATCTGTACAATACACTTATCTGTTTCTGATACACGTTATTAGATAGTTTATAAACGTATCATAGACAGCAATGGTAATAATCCTTTCTTTACAAATCACACAGGTAAGAATTGTTTTAAATAATGACTCATTTCCAAGTAATTTTAGGGCCAGATATTATTCATTAGTAATTATGACTATCAGGTTAATTAGTCTAGAATGGATAAATACTTCAAGATACCTAATAAGGTGAGTTTACTTTCCAGATGTTGTGCTGCTTCCATTAAAAGTTCATCTTTGTTGTCAATAGCTATTTCTGCCTCATGATGAAAGTTGAGCCATTTTCGAAATTCCTCTTCACTTAAAATCTGTCACAGTGTAAAGTCAACATGTAAGTGAAAATATTAAATGCCTGCCGTTAGGCTGGTAGAAGTCAACGTCTCTAATATGATTCAGCTATTAGAACATTTACTGTTACCAACTGCAATTTTAATACATCATCACTAACTATGATGATTATAAAAGTTAGGGTAGTGTTACTTCACAATTACAAGTAGAATCAAGTAGCAATTAATAGTAAGTATTTTGACAACTGAACACAAAGTATGCAGCATTACAAACACGCAGCCAGAAGCAATAGATTTGATGAAGTATTATGTCCTAAAAATTGAGTTAATTTTCAAGCAAATACAACTATGTTTTATTTTAATAAAAATTCTGGGAATACAGGAAAATTCTAGTGAAGGAAAATAAAGCATTTTCAGTAGGAGAAACTGTGATTTAAGAGATGAGCTACGGTTTGTGAATGCCAGTATCTAAGCTGACAGAGAAGAATTTGAAGTTTTATTCTGCCCTCAGAGGCATTTATATGAGATGATGTCCAAGGATTCTCAGTGGAAAAGCATAGGTGAGGTCTTGTACTTTGAATCATGATCAAAGCAAGCCTAAGAACATGCTGCCTGAAATAAAACCCTGGACGTCCTTGCAAAGTCCATGAACAAAAGACTAGAAACAGAATTATTTTAGCATTGATAATGGAATAGACTCCATTAACAGTGTAACAGACTCCATTGAGTCTGAGGGACCCCCAACTCATAAATGGCATCCAAGTTAGGTGATATGGTATAAAGTATTCTTCAAAACTATTGTGAGCCATGATGACGCAGTGGTTAGAACACAGTATTGCAGGCTACTTCTGCTGATTGCCGGCTGCCAACAATTTAGCAGTTCGAGTCTCACTGGCTCAAGGTTGACTCATCCTTCCATCCTACCAAGTACGGTAAAATGTGGACCCAGATTGTTGGAGGCAATAGGCTGACTGTATACCGCTTAGAAAGGGCTGAAAAGCACTGTGAAGTGGTATATAAGTCTAAGTGCTATTGCTATTGCTCATCGCTCACGTAATGTCACCTAAGGTTTCATCCTGTTTAATAACAAAGTCAGTCCTAAGGAGCAGGAGCTCTGCCCTTTGGCATTTATATTCCACAGCAATGAGATAGTATCAGTTGAGCAAGAAAACCATAATATGTACAACTGGAATAATAATAAAACGCCTCAAATCTTAATTACATTACTGCAAATCAAATGTTATTGACAGAGTTTGGTATCACTTTGGTAGATGATATGTACCAAAAACCAGACAGTCTGTTTTGGTTTTGCTGGAATGCTAGATGATTTTAATACTAGCGATACTAATATTGCAGCATGGAATATTTATTATTAAGATGTTTTTCCAGAGTCTCTCTCTCTGGGATAGATGTGACTTGGAGAACTGGTGTATGGTGATATAGGACTACCTAGAAAATTCTGGGAGGTTTGTTCACATTCTTGACATCCGATGCTGCCAAATCCTGATGAGATGTAATTCTGTTATGTCTTTGCCACCTAAATCCAAGAAGGCTATTTAATACCTACTACTGTCAATAAAGGATTACACGAGGGAACAACAAACAGAAGCTTAATCCAAATAAGTTGGAAATGTTCCTGTCTAAAACAGATTGGGGATCAGGGATTCCATCTGTGTTGGAAGGAACTGTGATTCTTTTTACTCACAATTTGACCGTGAGTGCATTTGCACTGCTATAGCTAGTGCGCCAACTGCATCCATTCCTGGAGATGTTAGATGATGATCCATGCCTTCATTATATCATATAGGACCAGCCATTAACACAATCACAACGAACTAACCTTTGAAAGTGATTCAGAAACTTTGATTGGCATAAAATGCTGCAGGCAAGCAATTGACCTTCAGTTTTAGTGGGCACATCTCCCTTACTGCAAGAGCATTATTGATTTCCAAGCTGTTTCTGGCCACAGTTCAAAGTGCTAGTTATCCCCTATAAAGCGTTCCACAATGTGGGATCAGGCTGTTTGAAAGAAGAAAAAAACCTTTCCCATATGACCTTACTCAGACTTTAAGATCCTCTGGGGAAGTTCCTTCTGTTCTGTTATTATCAGAAGGAGGAATGCAAAAGACATCTCTTCCAAAAATGCTGGCATACCCAGCTTTGTCCCTTCTTTAACATCTTTCCACTGTCAGACTAAAATAGTTTTATTAATATAGATGTTTGATTTTCCAGCTGTTCTAAGAGTAAATGGTGCTGCATGTTTTTCCTTCTAGAAAAACATTTCTTTTGGCATTCTTTTGCATTCCACCTTGTGCATTCTGTAAAGAGGCAAGATGGATTTGGAGTTAAAGGCAGGCGAGTTTTGCCAATCATCTGATGCATGTCTTCAGGCCATGATACTAGGCTTTCTGCTGTTTCTTTCTCCTATCAGGTAAGGGTTCCAAAATGAAAGTATTTATTTTCCTAATATTTCAAGCTAATATTTCAAGCTAATATTTCAAGCTAATATTTCAAGCTAACACTCAGTGCTACTGAGAACAATAACTTCCAAGCACATTTCCCGTTTTTCTGATCATCAGCCAAAGACTATAATTCACATATCATTTTCTCTGGAGCAGCCCAGAAATGTTTATGCAGACTTTGATGCTTCTTCTAAAATAAAGTAGGAAAAAAAACCCCTGCAGGTTGTAGTTTACACTATGATTAACCAGCCTAGCCTGAGCACCAAATATTTCAAGAAACAACAGAGCAGGACTTCCGGTTTGTCGGCTTCGCGAGCGGCAGGGATTTGCGAAGCTGCGCGATCCCTGCCGCGCTAGCCGTTTTTGGGGCTCCGACCCAGCCGGGTACGGAGCTAGGCTGCCCTGCAGGGGCAGCTGAAGGTAGGGGGGATCCGGAGAAGGGTTTGGGGGTGCTGCAGACCCCCTCCCTGGCCGGCAGAACCCCCTTTTCCCAGGACGGTGCAGCGGCGGTCCGTAATGGCCGCCACAAAGAAGCTGGCAGCCGGGTAAGAATGCGCAGGAGGAAGTGGAGAAAGTGATTGAGAGGAGAAAGTTTTTCTTGGCTCCTAGGACTCTAAGACATATTTAATAAAATTCCTGAAAAGTATGACTTTCTGAATAATACCTGCCAGAAGAGGAAAAAAGCGGCTGCTTGAAGGTGCTGAAAGGATAGCTTTCCCTCTTTTCCCACGGAATAAATAACTGGATATTAAGAAACCTATTTTTTTAGGTGGAAATTGGTTTTAAGCGATGAGTGGGAAGAGAGAGGATTAAAAAGAAAATATTTGTATGCTAAGATTTGTTGGAGCAGATGCCTTAAGGATTTGAAGACTAGAATATATTGTAACAAGACTTTAAACAGATTTGGACTTTCTTTCTCTTTGATTGATATCACCCCAGAAGGAGAAAGTGAGAACTCTGCCTTGGTTTGGACTGATTGATAACTTTGGGACTGTTTTATCTTTTTTATTTTCTTTTGAATATTCTGGTTGTTGTAAGAAGAAAGAAGGAGAAAAGAAAAGAAAAGATTTATAATGGCTCTTTCTGTTGAGGAACTAAGAAATGGTGTGGAAGAAGCTTTCCTTTTCTTAGAAATGGTGCTTACTAATTATCAACAAAAATTACAACAGATGAAGACAGCAGAGGAACAAGAAAGAAAGGAAGGAGCCATCTTTAATGTATCTCAGAATTTGATCCAGAAAAAAAGAAGAGAGAAAGAAAAGAAAAGAAGAGAAAAGAAGAAAACTAAAGGATTTAAGGACTTAAGATCTAAAAAAACATTTAAGAAAGGGAAAAATAAAGTGCAAAACCAATATGATGATTGTAAACAAAGGGGAAAAGAAATACGACAGAGAAGGGAAGCCGGTAAGGCAGAGGCTAGAAGAAGGGGGGGTAGAAAGTTTTGTTGGGAAAAGAAAGAAAGGGAAAAGGTGGAGAAAAGCTACAACGTTTTGAAATTAAATGGAAAAAAGGAATTTTTTATGGATAATGGATAAAGTAAAAAGATTTTGCAAGGTACATAAGATGAGATGGTAGTATTGCAATGGTTTAAGAGTTGATAAGAGATTAAAATGTTAAAATGTTTAAAAATGATTGGTTTTAAAACTTAATAATAGGAGGGGTTTAGAATATTGTTTTAATTAAAGAGTTTAATAAAATTATGGTATTGATGTTATTATGAAATTTTTATTATAGTATTTCTTTTTAATATTTGGATTTATTCTCTAATTATGCACTTAATTGTGTTGGATGTATTAGTTAGATAGAATGTACCAAGCAAAATCTGATTGGGTATTAGATATTATTTTAAAGATTAATTTGATTAACTTAGGGGGGAGATAGAAAGGCATCATACTCTGATTAATGATTTCAGGAGAAACTGATTTTCTTTTTTTTCATAAGGGATGAGACAAAGGGATGATAAAAAATGGACAAAAGATACAAATATAATGATTTAAACTAAGATGATTAATTAAGGTAGAATTAAGAAGTGTGAAATATGTGGAGAAGTTAATATAGAAGGCTTAGAACGGTAAATAAAATAAGTAATGATATGTAAGATGAGCATGAATATAATTGAAGTCCATGAAGAGAGAGACACCTGGGTCCAAGTTACTTTCCAAAAAGATATTTTTTTTATGTTTTGTGTGTTGTGTGTATATGTCTTTTTTGGGGGGAGAATTGGTAAAAACTTGTAGAAATATAGAATGAGAATAATGGTAACTAAGTCAGAAAGAAACAGATGAAATAATAATAATGATATTGAATAAGAGTAAAGAGAAGTAAAGAGAAATTGAATAAGAGGTTTTGGTATATTATATGGAAATGGTTTAAAACAGAATTATAATTTATCTGACTTGTTAAATTTACAAGGGAAAAAGGTTTAAACATGTAATGAATAATGATAATTTGTGTGTTTTAAAAATTAATAAAACTTGTTTTTTTAAAAAAAAAAGAAACAACAGAGCAGTTCTATTTGATTGCAAATGTTTCTAATATTCAAACATTAGTAATAGGAAGAACAGATGTCAAAAGACTGGATTAGAGTATTGCTTTCCTTTAGCTTCATTTAAAGATGATTCAGGTGAGGGGGCAGTAAGAACAGTAGGAAATTAATCTAGGTAACAAAGCATTTGCCATCTGGAACTGGCTCGAAGTGTCAAAACAAGCCATTTTACTGAAGTGGTTGTCATTATTATTGCTATTATTACCATTTAAAAAAAGGAATTACCTTCTTTCCTATGCATAGAGTTCTCAGACCGTCACGTGCATACCAATCTAAATGTTTTTGTGTTTGTGCTCTCACTCTTCGTATCCTTTTTCCCATGGCCACACTAGCTGTGAAACACAAAGGAAATCTGCTGATTCTCATCACAGTTTTATGAAATACTTAAGTACCTTCTTTAAGTATCCTTCCGCAGCACAAAAGTAAGACTATTTTTTGAGGCACAAAAATGCCTGTGGTCATTTTTCTTTCTTTCCTGTCAAGATTTAAACATTACCTACATGTGATGCTTGATTCTACTTCATACATGCACAGAAGCAATTTGCTCCTTATCTAACATCTAACCCGGGCAAACTGAAGGCTTTTAAGATGTTGCTGAAGCATTTTTCACCATTGAATCTTTTAGCTAGGCTGCTGAAGTAGTAGCCACAAAGCTCTCCAGGTTCCTTACCCTTGCCCTATAATCTGGTTACTATTATTAAGAGCTTACTGTTAATTGCCAGTTTATACAACTTCTCCTTTTAGAGAATCACTATGCTAGTTTCTTACCATTTTAATGCAGTGCTCATAAAAACAAATTAATGTAGCCTTTCTTAATTGGTTTGTTTCAATACCCTTTCTAACTATGTAAATCATCATTCTTGCTCTCATTTTCACTACTAAGGTTTCTAAGTGTGTTGTTTCTGCTGCAAACTGAAATCTGTAAATCTTGAAGATATTGCCCAACAATCCAAGCTATGCCTTCCTCCTAGTTCATTAGTTCTTTACTTTTGGTAGGGTCTTCCAATACATCCATTATGGCGGAGTCTGCCCCTTTGGTATAGACTATGATTTCTTTGGTGAGGGGATGCCTCACTACCACCGACATCCTCTTCCTGCTGGAATCAAATCCCAAGGTGAACAAGAGATCAAAGGTTAGAAGAGTTCCTTCCGGCAGCCTTACAGTCACTTGCTCAGGAGTTCTGGAGACTAATGTAAACTGGTAGGCATGGGCCGCGTGGACTAGAGCTGCTTCATCTGGACTTTCTGCCTCATAACAAAATTCTCCCTGCAAAGGCCCATGGTCTCTGCCTGCAAAGCTCCTCTCATTTGGGGAGGGATCTGAAACCCCACAGAGGTCGTTCTCACTGAAGGACTCCCTTCCAAGACTCTCATCATCTGTTAAGCTAGAACAGCTTTGAGTAGGACATTCATCTTTCATTTTTGATTCCGCATAGGCAGTGCTGCTCTCTGTGTTAATACTCTCTCCTAAGTCTGAACTCGATTGAACCGATGTCTGGCTGAGGCTTGCCAACTTCATCCACTGGAACAGCTGGTGAATTTTCTCCAGGGAGAGTCCTGACTGCTTCATCAGTGATGGAGTTGTAACCTTAAGAGAAAAGAGGGAATTGGGATTAATTAAAGCAAACATTCTGCAGCAGAGCTAATATGAAATTGGACCATTTCACATTAACAGAAGAAACATGGAAAAGGTGCCAAGTAATGCCGTTACTCAAACCGAGGGGCTCATTAATTGGATATCTCGATTAGAGGGATTTTTGTTGGCTTCCTTATGTAGATAAAAACCAAAGGCTTACATGAACAGTTTAGGGGTTGAGATACTTATAAACCCATTACAGAATGTTTCCTAGGATATATAGCACCCTTTTAAATGATTGAGACAGAATGGATGCGACTGAAATTTCTGGGTACTCTTGCATATTTTAAGCTCTGTAAATGGTTTAAGGTGAAAAGTGAGTGCCTTAAGCCTCAGAAATATCCCCAACTTTCAAATGATTGTGCTTTTTTCCTGATCTATAGTAGTTAAGTGATTAAAAGTTTTCCTTAATCATCTGCTTGGTTTATTTACAATACTAAGTGGAAGTCTTGTCTTGCTTGCTATGATGTGGCAACAACATTATTGTGTCCTTTGTGGATCTTAGTTTGGACAAGAAATCACACTGTGGTTCCAGGCTGAAAAATGGCCTACTCATGTTCTGCATGAAGATGATGTCTTTTCTTATTGTGTTAGAAAGGCAGATTTTTTTTAAAAAAAAATGGCGCTCCTATTCACTGTAAAATGGCAGAATTAATTAAAGATAAGAGATGTATGAGTCAACCCATTTAACTGCATTTCAGCTTCACATTGTTCATTTGTGTATTCCACCCAGTTTCTATATAAATTTATGGAGAAGATTATTTAAAAAAAAACTCTGCAAGGAAAAGTGGGTATATAAAATATGATTAAGTCAACCAAACAACATTCCCAGCCTTATCTTATCCATGGGTAGCATCTTGCTAATATTATGGATTTTCTCTATGATGTTCCAAAATTCTTTTTATTGGATTACACTGAGTTAAAAGCAGGTAGGGAGGTGGAGGAAGAAAGCTGAGCATTATATTTCTTTGCTCAACCACAAGGATTTTTTTGAGTGCATAAAATAATAGTTCTGCAAAAGAAGTAAGTTTCAAGATGGGATATATAGAAAAATTGCAATAAGAAAATGAAGGAATTTTTAGAAAAAATTAAAGACAAATTGGAAATGTTTCAAATGGAGGGCTCAGATGAGAGTGCACTAAACCTTCAGCAGGTACAATAAGAAACTGAAAGGGACGATACCAAACTAGGAGCTACACATATTGATTCTTCTAAATTTTGGGGTTGATTATGGATTATAAATGCTTAATGTGAAATATAAACAGAGGAAATATTTCTCAAAAGAGAAAAAATCATTTGAAAATCAAGATATATTTTCCCCATAAGCCACACATGGAAAAAATTATAAAACTTGTGTGAAGAATTTATTTCAGCAGAAACTAAAAAAAAAGAAACAGATATAACATTTGTATATAACATGTTATTTATTTATTTATATTTCATATTTCTCAACTGTCCATCTTCCTCAGCGAGAAGCTCTAAATCACATGGCTAAATCCTTAGCTGAAACCAGAACTTGTATTGACTGAAGACCATAATAGATTTATTGGGGTGAAAGTTATTTGTAAGGGTTTAAGGGGAACTTATGCACAACATGAGGATAAAGTTGTGTGCTATAATTATGGAGAGTGTAATAAAATTTATTTTGATTTTTTAAAAACTTCTAATAAAATTTAAAAACTTGCAATATGCCTTAAATATTAATCAGGTCAATTAATAAATTAATATTTCTGTTTTAACCAAGAAATACAATATATCCTAAGGTTATTATTCAGTTTAGCTAAATATATTAGTTTCCCTTTAAAAACAGAGTTTCTCCAGTGGTAAAGGATTTCTTTTTTTCACAGAAGATCTTCATTAACATTGGCTGTTTTTTCTCAGAGAAAGTTTGCTAGAAACTTTTAATTGGCATGTTTGAACTGATAAGCACAGGTAGCTTAAATGTATTATTTAAAATAAACATATTTCTCTGACTTTATTCTTCATAATTTAGTAGAGAAAAAATACTAAGGCTTTGGGAGGCCTTTTTTGAAGAACCTTTTAGAGAATCTGTGAGTTCATTATTAAACATGAGAATATAAATAATAAAAAAATAATGACAGAAACTGATGCTTTTTAAAATGTAAATTTAATTAGTTTCACCTTTTTTTTCTTAAAACTGGATGTTTTTTATTCTGCAAATGGATGTACTTTGGATTTGACCCAGATTTTTTGATATTCTCATTTTTTTCAAAGATTTAGCATTAGTTAATTCATCTCAAAAGATTTTTCTTTTGTTGTAGATTTCAACATTATGTTCCGTTGAATGTCATTCTTCTCTTTTCTCAATTGTGGAATGTTTTTTAACATAAATAAAATTGTATAAGGTATTTGTATGATATTATTTTGTATTATCCTTGATAAAGGAATTGCTTGAAATTTGTTCCGGTATGGTGAATTACTTTTTTTTACTTGCCCTTTCTCTCCCCTTTTGGTGGGATATGGATTAAATGCATCCACACAAAAAGATAGAGAATTCTGGACGTTAACTATTTATTTATTTATTTGATTTGTCAATCTTTTACAAGGTAATAGACCTCTTAGGACTGGGGTAAGATCAATAGTGGTTAGTTTGAGGGTAAAGGAGTGGGGGTTAGAGGATGTAACAACAGAGTCAGGTAGTGCATTCCAGGCATTGACCACTCTGTTGCTGTAGTCGTATGAAATCAGTAACTAGTCGTATGAAATCATATGAATATGTATGAATATGTATGAAGTCATATGAAATCAGTAACTAGGATTACTGAAGGCCAAAAGTAAGGAAACATTCTCCCTTGTCATAAAGTAAGATTTCTTTCTAGCCTGCTTGAGAGCGGTTGCCATATGCCTTCAACTATTACACTCAATAAATTAATAGAACATTCTTTCTCTACTAGCAAGACAGTCAGAGTGAAAGATTACCCTTTGCCTTGGTTCAGTTGCCGTAGAGACCACTACTGTGTTGCAGAGGGTCAAAGCAAGGAAGAAATCTGTGATGGAAGACGTGGCTTCTCCAGTGGTAAAGGATTTCAAAGATTCTGGTGGGCATGAGAGGTCCTTCATTTTCATCAGCAGCCTGTTGTCAGGGGTCACATCTTTCTCCTGAAATGCATATTATTCAGTTTTTTAAAAAAAACATTTGCAGGATTAGGATTGTGTGAAAAATAAGATCTTATGCTGGGTATTGTAAAGTTTTCAAGGATACTGTGTTTGAACAGAATAGAATGATACCGATCCAAACACAAAGGCAACAGAGCAACTTACTTCTGTATATAACACACATGCAATATAGCCTTTGTCCAATATCACAGTTCATGTGTCAGTTTCATCAGGGCTCCATAGGTTTCCATTCTTCTGAGGTTGTTAAAACGAGGACCCAGATTGTTGGGGGCAATATGCTGACTCTGTAAACCACTTAGAGAGGGCTGCAAAGTCTTATTGCTATTGCTGTCACATGTGGCCCTCTAATTTTCTTAAGATTGTGCTCCTAAGTTCAGTGGTGAACTGACTGAACTGTGATTCTTTAACTTTTCTTTGCTTTTGGGGGGTACATGAAAGGAAATAGATGCACAAAACTTCAGACAGAATTAGCTTATTATCAATAACTGCCAAATTTCCTAAAATGTGAAAAACATACATTTCATTTTCATTTATTTTATTTGTCAAGCAAGTATTAGATAACAGGTATAAGTATAAGCATGGTTATGAATACATGAAATGGATATGAATAAAAAAGAAACAATAGGACAGGGACGGTAGGCACTTATGCACAGCCCCTACAGACCTCTTAGGAAAGGGGTGAGGTCAATAATAGACAATTTAAGGTTAAAGTTTTTGGGGTTTGGGGAAGAAACCACAGAGTTAGGTAGAGTATTCCAGACATTGATCACTCTGTTGCTAAAGTTGTATTTTCTGCAATCAAGTTTGGTGCGGTTTACCTTGAGTTTGTATTATGTGCTCTTGTATTGTTGTGGTTGAAGCTGAAGTATTCATTGACAGGTAGGACATTGCAGTAGATAATTTTATGTACTATACTTAGATCAGACCTAAGACGGAGTAATTCAAGGTTTTCTAGGTCTAGAATTTCAAGTCTGGTGGCATAAGGTATTCTACAACGAGTAGAGGAGTGGAGAACTCTTCTTGTGAAATCATTTCTGGACTTTCTCAACTGTGCTAATATCAGATACGTAATGTGGGTTCCAGACTGATGAGCTGTATTCAAGTATAGGTCTCGCAAATGTTTTGTATGCTCTAGTTAGTAGTGTGATATTACCGGAGAAAAAGCTATGCAGGATTAGGTTAACAACTCTTAATGCCTTTTTGGCTATGTAGTTACAGTGGGCTCTAGCACTTAGATCATTAGAGATGAGTATTCCAAGATCCTTGACAGAGCTTGGATCATCAACAAGATCTTGACTATTCGGCTTGTATTTTATTTTCTGATTTTTTTGCCAATATGTAAGACAGAGCATTTGTTTGTTGAGATTTGAAGTTGCCATTCGTTTGACCATTCTGACACATATTTGAGGTACAGTCAAAGTACTGCTCCAGCCTCCTTCGGGAAAGACATCAGGTCCTGCTATGCCTGTCTCTGCCCAAGAAATGGTTCTTCCAAAGTATGATCTACTGTTAAAAATTATTACCCGCATCTGTATTATAGGTCAACATCTAAAAGAGAATATTTATAGCTCAGGGTTGAACTGTGGGGTCCTTGGTGCTCTCTGAGCAAGGTTGTTTTCTTGCAAATGTTTCATTACCAACCTGATGATGTTACCTAGTTTGAAAATAACACATCTGCAAGAAAAAAAAAAAAACAAGCCCAGAGAGCACCAAGGAATCCATAGTTCAGCTTCTTTGCATCTTGCTTTTGGAGGGATTGGAATTGGATATTATTTGCTGGATGTCAGTGACATTTTGTTAAATATGGCTGGCTTCAAGCCAGGAAGGAATGGGGGCTGGTTCAAGATAGATTTACGGGTTTCCTTCAAGTGTAAAGGCAGGGAGTCTTAACTAACAACAGTCAGCAGTGATTGTGTTGGTGCTTACTCTCACTGCTCCATATTTATATTTAATTCTTCTTTAATAACCGAAAAAGCACATTTGCACCAGGAGAGCAATAATCTGCTTAGACTGATACCAATTGATGTACATGGTTCTTCTCATTTGCATTTGCCTCTCTGGATTATTTGCCTGATTTTTGCTTAATATTTTAAGAAAGCACTCACATACAATTTTGCCCATGTAATGTAGCTACTTGTCTGATTTCTTGTCAATGGTCTTAAGAGACAGATATTTGAAAGTATCATTATACTAATCTTTAACTCCTGTGCCTTCTCAGCATGCTAAATTATTTCTTATTCTTTTTACCTCCTTATTATTCCTGACTGTGATAAAAAAAAGCAACCAATTGTATATTCATAACTATGTTTATACTTATACCTGTTATCTTATGATTGCTTGACAAAATAAAATAAATAAAAATATGTTTTTATACACAAGGAGGGATATTTAAATGGAGCTCAATATAACTGCTCCTGATACAGATTTTTAAAATGGAAATTGGTGACTGCTGTTATACTTCTAAGAATTTTAGTCTTGTTTGCAAAACTGAAACTTACTTTGCATTATTACTCACTAGGAATCTATGTAGGAATTTGCTTTGGTCTGAAGTTTCAAGTTCAACTATAATCTCTTATTAACAGAGGGGGGAAAATACAACAGAAAAAATATTTTAAAAAATTTCAGCCACTTTTTATATGTAGTTTTTCTATGTATTTGCATTGTAACTATCTTTGGGTTCTGCCACTTTTTCTTTTTCTGTTATTTTTTAAAGAAAGCAATAAAAATAAATTTTAAAAAGTCAGAGGAGGGGGAAATATGACCCTCTCAAATAAGGCAAAACATATCCCACACCTTGCATATTATTAATCTCAAAAGGGTTACTTCAAATATGTATACATAATCATAGGATCTCAGAGCAAATTTTGCCTGGTGACTGGCACCTACTGAAAATCTCAATATTATCCTCTGTTTCTTACAGTTACAGCTGAGACTTTTTTCTTCCCTAAACCAGCTGTAGGAGCAAGGTTTTATAATTTAAAGAAGTGAAAGATCATACTTACAAGGGTGCTGCTAAATGCCACCTGAGATGGAGCAATTCCCCAGAGACCCTGATATTTCTTTCTTGCATGTCCCTGAAAATAGGGACGAGCACTATGACATCTTTGCAAAGGCCTAGCATTGTTTCTCTGTGTTGCTGTGGTTGTTTCTCCAACTTTAGAAGGGAGGCTCAAATGCTTTTTCCAGTATTCATTCTCTGAATCGATTTCCTTGTATGAATCCAACCGCTTAGCTATGAGAGATAGAAAGAACCAAGAAAGTGTTGTGGTTAAAATGTTGGACTTGAGCTAGGAAGAGCCAGCATAAAGTCCCCACATATCCCAGGGCTCACTAGCTGACTTTAAGCCAGCTACGCTCTTCAATCTACTCCACATGAGTCTTAGTGGGATAAAAGAGACCATCTTGTTTGTCCCTTCAAACTCTTGAGAAAGGTGCCCCTTCCATTAGTTCTAGCGGGGAAGACAGAAACAATGGGGGAGAGGCAGTCCCGCAAGTCATCCATGGGGCAGGAATTAAGTCTTAAGGGGAATGGGAATCAGGTACAAAAGGTCATATTAAACTGATTTATTGCTGCTCATGCCTATGCACACAAATAGGTTCAACTAATGATCAGCACCGCTAGGAATTCAGGTCCCTTGCACACAGTCTAAGAGTTAGATAAGGATGAATGGAACTCAAGAGGGGTTGGACTTAGATTGCTTGTGGCTATGTAAGATTCTAGGCTGATCCCTCTTTAAATTCCACCCTCAGGTTCTGCCACTCCTTTCTCTACAATGGAGTGTTTGAGGGCACTCCCATACAACTATGGACCTTATTTTCCCCCAAAGTTTGCTGCAATTCTGCACAGCTTTGTGAATATCTTCACTACTGTTCCTTGGGATGGGGGTGAAGTTGAGGTAGCCAATGTTTTCTCTTGCAGGGAATAGTAGTGAAGCAAAAAATTGGGAAATCCCCAGAGTTGAGATGAGGTTCCCTCACATTTCCAGAATAAATGCTGGATGGATATCTTATATTTGTTTAAAGCTGAAGCTGATTTGATCTTAGTCCAGCTTCTCCCCATATAAACTTGTTTTCACAGAGATGCATCTATCTCAAAATACCTTTCTGCACCCTTCTTCTGTGAGGGACTGGAATCACAAAGGGTTTAATTTGTGAGAAACTTTTTTATAGATAAACGTACATATGGTATGGTATAGTCCTGTCTCCTTTGTCTGCACACAATGTATCTTGTAGTCTATCTCCTTCTCAACTTCCAGGAAAGGACTAAGCTGTAGGACATTTGTTTTTCATATTTGAGGGAATTTCTTTCTCCTCTGGCAGTTTTCACATTCAGACTAATTGAGTACTTAAGAGCAACCATACAAACCTTACCATTTTCCTGATGTGAAAATTCTTTCCCATTAATTGTACATCTTCGAAATACCATCTTGTTCTCTGTCAGTGTCCCTGTTTTGTCAGAGAAGACATATTGAACTTGTCCAAGGTCTTCAGTGATATTGAGTGCTCGGCACTGTATGGGCAAATCTTGCTCTTCATTATACAAGTCAATATCATTATGAATTAAGAAGACTTGGCCCAACTTGATTAGTTCAATCGATATATAGAGGGAGATAGGAATTAAGATCTGAAAGAAGACATTTCTCAGCATGTTAGAAATTATTTTGCTGAATAATTTTCAGTTTCTTTTCTTGACATTAACAATGACTGCTACAAGAAGTGTTTACAGAGATTTCCATAACATCTCCCATGTCTTACTCTAAGATCTTTATTGCCCTTAAGAGTTGGGGCAAATCTACAAAATACCCTCTTTCTCAGTCACTCTGAAGCTCTACAGAGGTCAGGAAAATAATAACATTTATTTCCCATGGCTGGTAAACTTTACTGTAATATTTATAGCATTTTAGCACTTGTTTTTTTATTCTCTGCTTGATATTGTTTTTAAATTTAACTATCAGATTTAATGGTACATTGTAATTATATTACTGTTTTTACAGTTGCTGTTTTTAACTTTTCTGCTAGACCCTACAAGAACTTTTTTAAAAAAGTGACGTTCAAATATAATAAATGAATCTATCATGACACTATATAGTTATAGTAAGAATATATAATGACAGACTACAATGGGATTCTTCTGGAAATTTGTGGTGTATGATAGTATGGATTTATGTTGGATTAGGTCTACTATTTTTACTCTAAAATTGGAGCACTTTGTAAATATATTTCTGCTCAGAATTTTCCAGTAAAGTCATTATCTCCCCATTCCTTTGTAATCACTGGCATTTTTCATAAATATTCTGGATGTTCCCACAATTTTTTAGAACATTTACAAGAATATTGTCGCTATTTTAAGAGTCATATTCCACTAGTATTTTTTTCATGATCATGCTGATAACAATGCTCTCTAATCAATTTGAAAGAAATGCTGATCTTGTGTGAGGTCCAACGTCTGTCTGTCTGTCTGTCTGTCTGTCTGTCTGTCTGTCTGTCTGTC